TAAAATTTACCACATAATTTAAAACTTAAAAAATTTATTTTCTTAAATAATAAAAATGATAAAATTTATATTTTCATATGCACATTTTTCCTTTTTGTTTTTTAAGCCTTTTTATCAAATATCTTCTGTGGGACTATAATGCTTACAGCTAAGAATTGGCAACAAACAAAGCATCTAGTCACAGTTCTTGTGCTTTAGTTTGTAAGATATTTTTGTTTAGAAAAAAGATGCTTGATATGCACTGAAATAGAAATGACCAATAACAAAAAGTGATTTTTGCATGAAAACTAATTAATCAAATCTCTTTACCAAAAAGTTTAATTTGGTTACATGGAAAGTGGAATCTACTAAAATTTAATTTAGTTACATGGAAAGTGAAATCTACTAGTAAATAATAATTATTTTTTAGGTCAAATTAAATGATTAAGTTTTAAAATCATTATTAAAGGAATTAATTTTTTAAATGTATTAAATCTATGTAAGAATATGTATTTAAAATTATTTAGTGAAAAATTAATTTTAAAAATATGTAAAAATTAATTTGAGACCACAACCAACCAATAAAAGCATTTAATGCAGGTTAAAAAAACTATGAAATTACTATAATACCATTAAAAATTATCACACTTCACCTTTTATAGTTGAAATTTTGATTTTACAAGTGATGTAGTAACCTTGGCTATGCTTGAGTGGATGTTATAGATGTTGAAGTTGAACTTTCATGAAATGGAAAATTAGTTATTTTCCTTTTAATTAAAAATCACCACAATAAATTTCTAATATTTTAATTAGACATGGTATACTCCATTTTTTCCACTAGTATTATTACTAATAGCAATGATGTTTAGATAGTAATTTTTTATAATATTTATTAATAATTTTTATATCTTATAAATATATATAATATTATAAATCTATTAAACATATATAATATTATAAATTCGTTGGATTGAGAATAGCTAATATTTTTTTATTATTAAAAACATTATAATTGTCTCACTTTCTTATTGGTTTAAATAAAAAAAATTTAATTATTTTTAAATAAAATATTAAATTTAAATTTTATAAATAAAAAAACAAACATTAAAAATAGAATTCACACAATTGAATTTTAAAGTTGAATCTGATTTTTAGATAGGAATATGTTAATAAAAAAAAATTACGGCTGTCAATGGAGGTGTAATCCACGCGTTTAGCACCGCGACTGGGGTAGCCTCAACTTCTTTTCCCTCCATAATAGATTCCTATCTTTCCACGAACCTGCACGTGTTAACTCGCCACGTGGCGAAAGATTACCGGTCCATACTACCCTCCTAGGCCGACGTGGCCCCCTTTGCTTTGACCGTTCGGGGAAGTTAAGAGAGAGAAACAGAACAAAATTAGAAGTCTTTTGACAAGAGTGTTTTGTTTCTAAACAGGTATGTCCCATATTCTTCTTCTTAATTTCCCCCCTAATTTCGTTTCTTTAACTGTAAAGTTTGCATCTTTGTTGCTGAATTGTTCCTCTTCTTCGATTTCTTGTTCTGGGTGATTATGGTTTTCTCTCTTGTGTCATTGTTTATCTGTTAATTGAAACTGTATAACGTTCATTCTAGCTGGTTTTTGTTAGGGTTTATGTGCATATGGTAGCTTATAATTCTTGACGAAGTGGTTTTTTTCTGGTGTTTTTCTATGTAATTGAGCTGTGTATGTTGGGTTGTGGCCGTTCTTCATGGGATTTATGACTTAGGTTGACTTTGATCTTCTTGGTTTTTATTTGGAGAGATTTGGTGTTTTCTGATATGGGTTTTGATTCCTGCCTTTTCATGAAGTAGGTTTGCCCTTATTTCTGTTTCTCTATGAAATTTATGGCCTTCACCCTATCATAAAAACCCATATATTTTTTAATGCCTAAATTAGCGTCCTTGTCTCAGAATTGTTTTGCAAAGTCACATATTCAGCTGAAACTTGTAAGATGTTTTATTTGTTCCATGGTTCAGAAAATTACTGGGTTGTAGTAGTCTTTTGTTAGCTTCTTGATAGATCCTTTATGTCCATCTTTTTTGATATCTTTGCCTCCTGCCTTGGTTGTCTATGTGACACAGCCTCAGCTGCCCCCCACTGATGTTCCAGAATCACAATTGCATTTCTGGTCAAATTTGCAGAGCAAATGCCATCTTTAAGAATGAAGACCAAACTAAGCACAGGTTCTTTAAAAGAAAAAAATGATCATGTGTGCCAAAAGTCTTGTAAGATCTCTAAGAAGTCATGCTCTCATGTCAGCATTTCCCAGCAAGCAGCTGAGTTTGACTCATCTTGTCGAAGTTGTCACAATGGTATGCAAATGCAACTACACTAAGGCAAATTAATTTGTCAGATTCAAAGATGGTCTAGCATGTCTCATAAAAAAAGTTTCCATTTTTATTTCTTGTTGGGGTCCCCATGTATTTGATATTGCACCTGTTTGGTTCAAGTAACTAGATGTGGACAAAATTCTAAATCATCTCCATGATGAGATTTGTTATAAGTTCCATTTTCTGTGAGAAATAATGTTTTCCACTTTACATAACTTCTTATCTATGAGATTATAATGATTGTTAACATTGAATCCATAAAATAGAATCATATCCAAAACGTAAATGCAATCTAGATTTCTTAAGTTGCAGTTGTTTAGGGTATAATAGATCATAGGTTTACAGCAAAATCTATTAGAGTTAACAAATTGAATACGCTGTCCAGTTTGCTAGTTTCATAAATAATTTTCTTATAGAGAAAAGAAATTATCTGAAATTTTTAATTGTCTAATGTTCTTACACTTTATTTTTCATGGGATCAATAGAAGTATCCTGTCAGGATTTAAAAACTGGTGTAGCTACTGACCAGCAACAAATTGTAGGTGAAGAAGATTCTGAGATCCTGAAGCAGCCTCCGGTTTTTATTGATTCCTCTACCATTGGAAGAATGGTAATCTTTTCTCACTTAATTGAGTGGCCCTTAATTTACATCTTTCTCATGTACTGATCACTGTTAATTAATTGTAGGAATGTGCCCAGACATATGCATCAGACTTGGAAACAATTTTCTCTCCTCTTCTAGAGCAAATTGAAATGCATAAGGAACCATATTTTGGCAATGACACTGGTAACTATTTCTTTCTTTTCTCCTTGTTGATAATGAATGTTGAAGAAATACATGCTATTTTCAATTTTTAGAATTGAAAGGAATATGATTTTAAGCGTTTTTGATTGCAACAATATCTGAAAATTTTCTTCTTTCTTGACACATACTTGTTCCTCAATAAACAGACATAGACATAAAGACAAAATGTTGTAGAATTAGATTCTTGTATGACCTGCAGCTTTTGTGCATCAACTGCATGTTATCAGCTTCATTGTATTTAAACAATTGTTATTATATTAGGGTTCTACACATATGTTTCTCATGCTATTGTGTAAGAATTTTTGTGATGTGGAATATCATTCTCTGAAGATACTGTTAAAAAAAAAAAAAAGACTTTGGGGTTTTTTTTTCCTTTTACTTGTTTCTAGAAGTAAAAATCAGTAATTTACTAACTAGAATCTGGAAGAAAAAACAATTCTTTGCATGAAACCCAGGTTTTCTTTCCTGAATTAGGCAACCATGTCAACTGATGTGGAGCAACTTTGATACTTTGAGTGATGGATTTTTTATTTTTTAGGGATTTTAAATTTTCAGAGATTTGTAGGTATCATGTCAAAAAGTTGCATGCCTTTTTTTTTTTTTTTTTTTTTTTTTTTTTTTTATCTTCTTTTCCATCCATTGTAGGGACTGATTATGAGCCTGATATGCCTGTGTTGGGAGCTGATGAAAGTAAAAAAAGCTCATTTGACTATCATACAAGTAATGTATCAGACTTCTTTATCTCTGACATGATTATTGCAAGCATACCATTTGATGGAAATGCCATTGATGATAATATCATGGGAACCAGTTCCTTTCCTGACTTCAAATATTCTGAGCCAAGTTTGTTATTCGACATTTCTGAGCAATATATGATATTGCCTTCACTAGAGGAGACCGTCAAATCCAACATGTTAGATGATGTTAAACCATGTGAAGAAGCCATAACGACTCGAGATAATGCAGACTTATATCTAACAATTGATCGGATGAGATCCTACAACCAGGAATCTGACATTAACTCTGACTCAGATCAAGTAGAGGAATTTGATCCACAGTCCTACATTAAAAATTTATCAGAACTATCTGAGGTAGTATCTGGTTTCCGGCCCAGTATATTACCGAAGGAAACTCAGAAAAAGAAGCCTGTGACTCTTGTACTTGATTTGGATGGTAAGGACATTGAGTCTCTTAGTACTGTGATAGTATTAAATGCTATTCCTTCTTCATTTCAATTATTAGTGTATTAGAATGTTGGCAACTAGCATCACGGTGACTTCAGATATTTGATATATCTGTTTGTGGTGAATGTCCGAAGCTTGCAAGTTAGACATCAGAGATTTCAACATAAATTATGTCTATCTAACCTTGTGAAAGAAATGAGCTAATGGGATTTTATGTCACGAGACGTAGTGGGGTAGAAAGTATTGGTATGTGCTGCTTTGATCACCGTTGTTTTGATATGTGCAGAAACTCTTGTCCACTCAACCCTGGAACAATGTGATGATGCAGACTTCACCTTTACAGTCTTTTTCAACATGAAAGAGCACACCGTGTATGTAAAGAAGAGGCCTTACCTCCAAACATTCTTAAAGAGAGTTGCAGATATGTTTGAAGTAGTTATCTTCACTGCCAGCCAAAGCATTTATGCAGAACAACTATTGGATATATTGGACCCAGATGGAAAGCTTATATCTCGGAGGGTTTATCGTGAATCATGCATTTTTTCAGATGGAACTTATACCAAAGATTTGACAGTTTTAGGTGTTGATCTAGCAAAAGTTGCTATAATTGATAATTCTCCACAGGTATTTTACCTGCCCATTTGGCTTTATGCTTTTCAGTTTTCACCTTACAAGCTTCAATTTTTTCTACCTTCTTTGGATGTGAATTTACAATGTCTTAACCTGTCTGTCATTCAAGATTAAAATTGGGTCTTAGTTTGTGCCTCAAGAAATAATGCATAAGAAAATTGGTCCATGAAGGAGAATGATTTCAGTGAGATCAGTCAAACTACTAAATTTGAATGGTAATGAGTACATGAGTGCATCTGCTGCTAACTACCCATTAAAAGCCCAAAGTTAGATTTTCCTCAAAAGGAAAGAGGAAAAGAACAGGCATGTCTGATTTGCTTTCTTACCATCTTTAAACATATAGCCTCCCATCGACATTAAAGACACTACAGGAAAAGATATGGAAAGGAAAATTAGAAAAAGAAAAGAGAAGAAAACACAAACACACACACACACACACACACACAATACAGACTATCTGATTGATATATCCCTGATTGCTTAAGCATTCTTCTCCTCTGCTGATTCCAGGTTTTCAGGTTACAAGTGAATAACGGGATTCCTATTAAGAGTTGGTTTGATGATCCATCAGATTGTGCACTAATTTCTTTACTTCCCTTTTTAGAGACTCTGGTTGATGCTGATGATGTCCGCTCCATCATCGCTCAGAGATTTGGTAACAAGGAATAAGAGCCCTTTTTTTTTCTCCTTACTTGCTTTCAATATATCACCTTGTCCCTCTTGTTTGTTTTAAGGAAATCTGACCTCTAGTTGAAAACTCAGTTCTCTCTCCCTAGAGTTCTTTAGCTGATCAACTATCAAATTCCTTCTTTTTTTTTTCCCTCATTATTGCGTTAGCTCGTTTGTTCTTGTTTCCTTTCTTGTTTGTTCTCAGTTGACAACCCAGTGGAGTGCTCTATATAATTCTTCTTGCTAAAGGTAGTTCGACAAATTGTTCTCTGTTTACCTTGTACAGTTGAAGTTGCTATCATATGAGGGGGGTGTATATGAATCATTTATCTTCTGAAATATAATTTTGTGATATTCTCATTCTCTTGCTTTCTTTTTTGTTGATTAGTTCAGTTTCAGTATCATCTTTTCACTTCTCTTTTATTATCTTTATCTATTGAAACTTATGCAGATGTGACTAATCCTTGTACAATTAAATAGGAAATTTAGACTGAAAACTTCTAGGAAATGTTAGCACACATTAGTCATTCGTACTCACTGTGTCTAAACCAACATTAGAATTGTATTGGACTACTGATTCTTCAAGTTCCATATGTGAAGCATATTCTGGAAAGAAGCAATGTTTTTGGGGCGTAGAAAAGCTCTAATTATTTTAAGAAGCTTGGGAACAGACAGGTTTTAGGGTGTAACTTACATGGAATGAAAATTAAAATAGACAACTCTCCTGTAACAATCAGTGTGAAATATAAGATATGGATGCTTTATTCTGAGAACTTTTAGGCAGTTAAATTCAGTTACATTAGTCAGTGAAGTGATATATTGATGAATAAATGAATGATGCAAATGTATGCCATGCTTAAATCATGTGAGAGAATGCGGACTGAATATCCAGACCACAGGGTTAGAATGGGGGATCCAAATGTGATTACCAAGTATGTAAATAAATATTTTATCCTTATTTCTTTTGAGTAGACTTTACTGGTTGATATCTTTTAGCTTATATTTTAGCATGTTTAAGTGCCCCCAACTCGTCATTGCTAGTATTATAAAGCCTCACAAGCAGAGAATCTGACTGACATGTGGTCCTTTCCTTAGTAAACCTTTGATCTTTCCAAGTTATGTGCTAGTTATGAAACAAAAGAACAGATTTTTAGTTAAAAGGACAGTTCATAAGTGATGTATTCAGCACTGCTGCCGCTTACATGTGTTGAAGCCATTACATAAGAAGAGAAACAGAACCTTGAAAGAAAGTATCTGATTTGGATGAAGGTTTTAAGTTTGCTGTCTATACAATTTGAGACCAAAGATAATCCCAGTTTCTGACTGTATGGTGCAAAAAGCATAACTTACTGAGCTCTTAGTTGCTAGTAGAGATGGAATGGTGAAATAGTTCCATGCCTTTTAGATATAAAGTAAGATTTCGTAGGGGTGAAGGATCAAAATTTAACTAATATGAGCAACATGCTGGTGAGGTAGCTCTTTGAGCTCTGGTTTCGAGGTTAGATGAAGATTATGGAATTGAAAACCTGTTTTATTTGCCATCTGCTGCATTTGAAGAGACAAGGATTAAGGGTTGATGGGGGTGGGCTATGCAAATTAGCTTTCACTGCTTGTCATAACATCACATGAATATTTTGATATCTATTACAATTTTACAATTTTGAAATGCCTTGCCTGCAGGTTGCATGATGAACCTTACTAGATTATCTGCCAATGGCAAAATAATAGGTACGCGGACTTCTGTCTGTTGCAATTGACATGGGTACTTGTTATGCTGCCATTTCTTCTTTCCACTCTGAAAGTCTGAATTGTTGATATAGGAACAAATACAGTTGATTATTTTGAGTTTTGACATTTGGGAATCCCTAAGGTTATGTATAGACTATAGAAAGTAAAAGCACAATCTAGCTTCTGCTACGCAAGTATGCTGTGATTTGTTTCATGTACTGACACTCATCTGTCCTAGTCCAAGTGTTCTTGTTCTTTTGATAATCTCAAATTTTGAAACTATGATTTCATATGGTGTGTGCTTACATTTTAATTATCAGATCAAAGATCCTCTCGACTAATATAGTTCACTTGTTATTTAACTGAACCTTGAGAGGACATGCAGCTTGCTGCTAAAAGATGAATTAAGGGTTTTTCTCGTCTCATATTATTGTTTTGAAGAAGGTTATTAGATTTTCATCTATTGGGGCAGCAATACCTTCATATTTGAGTATTTTTATTTTATTTTATTTTATTTTGTGACCTTAAACCAAATCAAGGTTTTTCTAGTTAGTAAATATTAAATATCAATTCGGCTAAGCCGATGTTAGTTCATATTCAAATGATTGGGTGAATGAATGATCTTTGATTGATTAGTATGAGAACAAGTGAGATATGGTATTAATCAAAACTAAACTTGGGTCTGTTTGGTTGCCCTTTCATATATGTCATTAAATGATTAGGTGCATGTCTCACTTGGGCATGTTTGGTTACCCTGTGAGAACTAAGCCGTTGTTAGTTCATATTCAAATGATTAGGTGAATGAATGATCTTAATCTGTATGAGAACAAGCGAGATATGTTATCAATCAAAACTAAACTTAGGCCTGTTTGGTTGCCCCCATATGGGCGTTTACAGTCGAAACAAGTGCATGCACAACCAATGATCCACATAGAGAATATCTAGAGTTCTATCTCTCTCTTTTTTTTTCTTTTTTTTTTTTGTTGCATAATAGAAAACAAACATCTTCCATCTCTTATATCGTTCCACTCGTATATCATGCGACTTGAACTTAGAATTTTTTACTTTCAACGAAATGAGATTACCACTGAGTTATTTAAGTCGTCAGTTTTTTTTTTTTTTTTTTTAAAGTAAAGGAAAACATTGAATTTCAATAGACTCAAAAGTTAAATCTCTGAAAAAGCCTTCTATTTTTTTATTTTAAAAATTAAAACTTCAAAAATGTTGTTAAGTTCTTAAACCTAATAATTTTTATTAATTCGTATTTTTTATAATTACTGCATTTAATATAAATTCATAATTTAACATTTCTGCAGCAATTATCATAAAACTTGCAGCTTCAACAAAAATCATTTGAGGCATGAGTCTTTAGTTTGGCAATTTGAACTGTGCTTAGCTCTCCTTGCCAGTTAAGGGTAACTTTTAATACTAAAAAATTTTCGTTCATTAAAAAATTTAATTATTTTTTCTTTTTGAGCTACCCTCAAGAATTTTTTTATTTACCATCTGCAAAAATTAGGAATACAATTATTTTACTTTTTTATTAAACATTTTAATATTTAAAAATTATATTAAATTTTAATTAATTTAAAATTAAACTATTTCACAAAAGGAAAACTCTTTATATTTATTGCTTTATTTATAAAATTTTAAACTTTAAATTTTATTTAAAAGCAAATCAAATTTCTCACATACAAATACTCATGCTGGTAGATTGTTAGTGTTTTTGGGTATTAACATTTCAGTATTCGATAATCACCTTGAGTTATAATGAATTCAGAATCCAACTGTGTCAGATCCTATTAGGAAAAACTCTTTCAGCATCTATTTCTTCATTTAGAAGACTCGAACTCGGGACTTTATTTAAGAAAATTCGAGTTCTTTTCATTCAGACCAACATGTCATTAGTGATAGATTGTTAGTGTTAGTAAAATGATTATGGATCCGAAGGTCACCATCAAAGATCAACATGGATCCGCAAACTTCATTAGGGGAAGCTCTTCCAGTATTTTATTAATCCATAATCGAGTCGTATTGAATCTCATTACGGAAAAACTCTCTTAATGTCTGTTTTTTTATTTACAAAATTTAAATTTAAGATTTTACTAAAAAAAAATTAAATTTTTTTTATTTAAATTAACAAATCGTTAGTGATAAATTGTTATTGTTAATAAAACGGTCATGGATCCGAAGCTCACCGTCAAAGATCCAATATG